GGGGGGGGATTTGGGGACCAGAACCCCTCTGGGACTCCCCATGGTGACCCCATGCACGCATGCAAACACACGTGTCCCCACGAGACCGTATCCCTGTGCACGGTCACGCATGTCCCTGCACACACGCGTGTGTGCCCCAGGCGTGGTGAAGCCCGACACATACAAGCCGGTGCCGGATGAGCCCCCGAATCCCACCAACGTGGAGGAGACGCTGCGGCAGATCCAGGCCAACGACGGGGCTCTGGAGGACGTCAACCTCAACAACATCAAGGTGAGGGACCCGGTGGCGGTGTCCCCAGGGTGTCCCCAAGGTGCTAGTCCCGGTCCTGGGGTGCCAATCCCCATCCTGGGGTGTCCCCGTGGGGCTGGTCCCTATCCCAGGGTGTCTCCAGGGCACCCCAAGGTACTGGTCGCCATGCTGGGGCATCACTGTGGCCCCCACAGCGTCCCCAGGGTGTCCCTGGGTGCTGCTCCCTGCCCAGGATGGTGCCAGGGTGATGGGTCCTACCCTGGGGTGTCCCCATGAGGCTTGGTCACCCTTGTCCCAAGGTGCTGCTCGCTGTCCCGGGGTGTCCCTGCAGGGTTGTCCCTGTCTTGGGGCATCCCTGGGGTGTCTGTCCCCATCCTGGAGTGGCTCCAGGGCACCCCAGGGTGCTGGTCCTCACCCAGGGGCATCCGTGTCCCCGTGGTGACATCCCACATCCCTTCAGTGCCATTTACATCCCTCGTGTGACATCCAGCACCCTCTCGGGGATGCCCCTGTGCCCTTGGAGACATCTCCACCCCCTTGACGCCACTTGCAGCCCCTTGGTGACACCCACATCCCCTCAGGGATGTCCCCATCCCCTTGGTGACATCCATGTCCCCCTGCCGCAGGACATTCCCATCTCCACGCTGAAGGCCATCTGCGAGGCCATGAAAACCAACACTCACGTCAAGAAGCTCAGCCTGGTGGCCACCCGCAGCAACGACCCCGTGGCCAGCGTGAGTCCCAGCCCCGTGTCCCCAGACAGGGAGGGGACACGGTCCCCTGCCCCCAGCTCCATCCTGGGCACCAGCAAGCCCAGGTGACGGTGGCTTTTCCACCGTCACCTGGGGCATCGGTGGCCCAGGACATGCCAGAGGCGGGGTGACACCCCGAGGTGACACCCTGAGGTGACACGCAGGCCGTGGCCGAGATGCTGATGGAGAACAAGACCCTGCAGAGCCTCAACATCGAATCCAACTTCATCACCAGCGCCGGCATGATGAGCATCATCAAGGCCATGTACCACAACGCCACCCTGAGCGAGCTCAAGGTGGACAACCAGGTAGGGACGGGCACCCGTGGGTGGCCCGGGGAGGGGACATGGGTGTCCCCGACTTCCCGCTGTGCCTGGTTTCACCCCGGCCCCACAGTGCCAGCGGCTGGGCGACACGGTGGAGATGGAGATGGCCACCATGCTGGAGCAGTGCCCTTCCGTTGTGCGCTTCGGCTACCACTTCACGCAGCAAGGCCCCCGCGCCCGTGCCGCCATCGCCATCACCAACAACAACGAGCTCCGTGAGTGTCCCCTGCGTCCCCTCCCGGGGCAGGAATCGGGGCGG